GCACTATACACATGTAGGGACACTTCCATATACAGGGGTGTCCCCATCTAAATTTAGAGGACAGCTAGGCTGTAGTCAGGAGTTTTATCGCCAATGATGTGGGCTGGGGAAGGAGATAAATATTCAGGAAGCCCTTCTAGAAGTGTCTTTTTCCTTCCCATGATATGCCCGGAGAGGATATCAGAGTAGAACGGTCTTTTTCTTTCCCATGATATGCCCAGAGAGGATGTCAGAGTAGAATGGTCTTTTTCCTTCCCATGATTTGCCTGTAGATGATGTCAGAGCAGTTGCCGGCTGAGATAGTATGAGGCCCGCCGGCCGCTGTGAGGAGGGAGCCGCGGAACAAGGAGGCACTGGAGACAGCCCTGCAGGCACATCATGGGGCCTCGGATGGCAGTAAGGGCCCAGCAAACAGAAAACACATAGGAAACAGGTGAAGACTGAAGACCAGCCAGAAGACGTAAGGGTAAAGAATTCATTAAAATTAGGGATGCACAGATACTTTTCGAGTACCAGTGCCGATACTTGGCATTTTCATGAGAACTACCAGGGTTGCAGCGGTTGCAGCTGGGACCCGGCTCTGGCGCTCCACCACTGTACTGAAATAATTAGTCTGTATTGTTGTAGAAAAACTGTCACATGACATGAAACACAAATGTATCAGTACTTGTACTCGCAAAACTGGTATCGGTGCGTCACTTTATTTATATTTATAAAAACAAAATCATACATTAAAACAGAGATGTACAAATCCCAGGAGCTCCGTGTGCTCCTTACAAATGACAGCTGCGTCCTAACTTTTGAATTTTTCTCTAGTCTAGTCTTGGAGCTCAAAAGTATCGGTACTTGAACCTGTACCGAGTACGGTACTTGGTATCTGTGCAACCCTAATTAAAATAATTATTATTTGTAGCCCAATGTTGTATAAAGTACTGTTGCAGCAATGCAGAATGGCACCCTCTATAGAGGACTATGGGAGGAGAGCGCTGTGTTTGTGGGGGGTTTTTTTGGGGGGGGGGGGAATCTTGCACCAGGGCCCTTTGTTCCTTAGGTCCGCCACAGTGTCAGAGAGAAGGATCTTTTTCCTTCCCATGATTTGCCTGTAGATGATGTCAGAGTAGAAGGGTCTTTTTTTCCTCCCAGGGAATGTACAAAGTGTGTACAATGAAGACCTAGCTGGATGGCAGGGGCGGGCAGAGCATCAATCTGGAACTGTTCCTGACATTCAGCAACCTAATGAATGGTTACTTGTGTCACTCCCGGCAGGATTGCTGCCATGTGCCATATGCCTGTGCTGGCTATTCAGAACTCTGAATACACCAAAGTTTCCCTTTACAGGTGGAATTTGCATATCATTCAGTCTGATCCAAAAATATTCTGTCTTTCAGGAACCGAAAATTGACAGTTTTTCTACAGTAGGACATAAACCTGACAAGATAAAAGGAGATATTGAGTTCAGAAATGTGAAATTTTCTTACCCGTCTAGACCCGATGTCCAGGTCAGCAACTGCAATCACTTCACAAACAATCACATGGAAATAATAAACCGTATAGCGCTAATTTCATCTCCATTCCTGGCAGGTTTTGAAAGGTTTGAACTTGAAGATCTCAAGTGGCCAGTCTGTGGCCTTAGTTGGAAGTAGTGGTTGCGGTAAAAGTACCGCAGTCCAGCTCATTCAGCGGTTCTATGATCCAGAGGAAGGCTCGGTAAGTGCAGCTTGAAGTTCCCCATAGTTTTCTGGGCCTCTAAAATCTCATATAAGCTTTAACATGTTAATGTCATGTCCACAGTATGTCCCAATGCAATGTGAGGCAAATGCTAACCCATAGCTGTGTGAATGTACTCAAAGACCGTGCATGATCCGTAACTTTGATAATGCAATAGCAGCATTGCTTAGAACTGTATATATTCCTATAACTGTTTTGTAGATTTCACTTGATGGACAAGATATCCGTAACCTCAACACTAGATATCTACGAGAGCTGATTGGTGTGGTGAGCCAGGAACCGGTTCTCTTTGACACTACAATTGCAGAGAATATCCTCTATGGGCGAGATGACGTCACAATGAAGGAAATTGAACAGGCCACAAAGGAAGCCAATGCCTACAACTTCATCATGGGGTTACCGGATGTGAGTAAAATCTTCTAAATTATAAGAGTTCACCGGGCCCACTTGTAGTTTAAATTGGCCCCTCCCTCCCAGAAGGCCCTCTCTAGCCAAATGGTATGTCCATCCCTTATATTACAAGGTCAGTTTTCACTTTAGGAGACCACTATATTACCTGGTATGTTTATTTCTAGAAATTTGACACTCTGGTGGGGGAGAGAGGAACACAACTGAGCGGAGGTCAGAAGCAGAGGATCGCCATAGCACGGGCGCTGGTCCGCAACCCCAAAATTCTTCTTCTGGATGAGGCCACCTCTGCTCTGGACACAGAGAGTGAAGCCAATGTCCAGACAGCTCTGGATAAGGTATCTATATGGCCATATAAATGTAGAATTAGACATAATGTCAGTTGTAAAAGCTAACTTTCATTGTCACTGTGATTAAAAAAAGGTATTAGTATCATCCATAACAAATAACACGATTTCACTCAGCCCTGTGAATATGAAATTGCTTGCATCACCACCGCCTGCTTTCTGAGCTACAGATCAACATCTGAACAATGTAACATTATCACTGCTTGCTGCAAGCAATGCATGATGGGATATGTATTCTTGAGAAAGGAGGCAGGTAGAAAATTGATGTTTGGACAGTAATTGCAGCCAATCAGCTGCCGACACATTTTGGATATTTTGACAACCACGTTTGCCGGCTGTTCCAATGCAGTAGCCAACAGGGGAGATTTCTCTATATATGCTCTTTACCATAAATGGGTGAATCAAGTTATTTTTCTACATTTTCTTAAAGTGTATGGCCAGCGTTAGGCTTATGCTGCTGCTCTTCCTCTACATTACCTGAAACCAGAGTCATGAGAGTATTTTATAAAGTGGAACTCCAGGCAAACAGCTTAACACAGAAAATAAATGGTAACTGTGATATATGCCAAAATATTTCCCATTCTGTTCAGCCTTTCTTGTGACTCACACACCCATGCCACACTGTAAAGCCAGTGGGTTACACTTCTGTTGCTTCATAGCTACATGCAGTTCCATAGCTTCATGTGTCACCTCCCTACCTCCAAGCTTCTCATTGGACTATGAATGAGCATTGTTACACTAGTGAAATACCCCCCTTGCATTCTCTTGGTAAGCTGTTGTAGCGCTCACCCCCGAAGGAGCCGCTGTGTATGAATTGAGGTTCTCCTACCTGTTTGCTCCAGCCACCGGCCCTCTTGGATCAACAACAGCACACCGACACTCACAGACAGAATGGACGCCAGTCTTAGGGTCTTGTTTGTAGATTTATTTGCAAGGATTAACAGGAGAGAGGTTTTAGGATCTGTAGGATGCCCTGGTGAATTCTTCAGAGGACTGCTTCCTATCCTAGCAACCGCTAAGGCCCATAGCAACGAGATCTGGTCAGAGGGATCAAAGGTTTCTTTACCAATACTGCAAACAGCCAGGATGGTCCAGTAACTTATATGAAAAAGGGTAGCTATCTCTGGACTCAGATAAGGACCTCTGGCTTCTTCTAGAACAGACACCTGGAATAGGGTAAGGGATCTCTCTTGGGGGTCCCAGATGGACGCTCTCACCAGCTCCTCTGCGGTACCCCTTAACAAGAAGACTCCACCTCCGGCCCAGCTTCCATCAGGTCTTTCTCAGAAGTATCTGGAATCTATGTGCCCTCAGCACCTGCCACTTGCCAAGGAGCACTCCAGATTAGTAGTAGTATCCTCTTAGAACAACACGTGTATGGGGCCCAAGCAAAGTACCTATGGTGTCCCAGGCTTCTAGGCCCCTCAGCACCTGCCATGTGCTGAGGCCCAGGCCAGTCACTTGAATCACATTAGCCTCCTAGGGAGAGGCCCCAGGGGGGGAAAGAGACCTCTGCACAGTGTCCCCAGACCTTTTATTACCTGCCCTCAGCCATACCTCTGAGTCATCCTACTCAGGGATTGGTCAGGGTCAAGTGCATAGTCATAGTTTGAGGATGGATCCTCCCTCACTGTATTTAAAGGCCTAAGGCCGGCCCTGAGGGCGCTACACTGTCTAAACACTCCCACGCCTACACTAATATCTTATTTCCACTGTGCCCAGCCCAATTCATTTCTATGGGTGATCTGAAAACCTGAATGCTTGGATGCAACAATGCACACAGGTCACCCATAGGAATGGAAAGGAGCCATTGTCTGTCTGCATAAGCAGTAAAAAGAGGACCCAGTACAAACGTTTTCTCTGCAAAGGCTTTGCAGCTCTGGGAACATTGGTCCTTTAACTATATTTAAATGCTGCCAGTATACCTGCCTAAAATCTGAATTTCTACTTCTCTACACAGGCCAGAACAGGCCGGACTACCATTATAATCGCACATCGCTTATCCACAATCAGAAATGTGGACAGTATTGCTGGATTCGACAATGGCGTCATCACAGAGCAGGGAAGTCACAGCGAGCTCATGAAAAGAGAAGGAATCTACTATAAACTTGTCAGCATGCAGGTAAATATCTGTTGAATTCTTTCATTAGGAGGATGTACTTAAATTCACCAGTAAATCTCGGTAATCTGTAGTTTAACATCCCAATAATAAACAGCGTCTCCATAGCAATGAATGGGATTTTGTCTGTGCATGCACAGAAAAGCTCTTCTGTTCTCGACTGGCCAAAACAGTCCTTAGACTGTCAGAGCCCAGGGAAGATTGGTGTGGAAAGTGTTTGATTGTACCAGCACTGATGACTTTCTTCTGGGTTTGGATGGGCTTTGGTTCAGACCGACCCCTAGCTTATCTTTACTCAGCAATAAAGGCACAGACAGCAATTTAGACCCAACACACGTTCTACTATATCAAAAACTTGAAGAACTAAACGAACAAAAATATTTAGTTACAAAATGTTTGATTGTTTTATTTATATACATACATTGGGAACATTTATAGTTAGGGCGCTTCTAAGACACTTTTGTTTTTGATTGAAAATTCTCAGTTTTTAAGCTTTTATTGTAAGTAAGCCCTCCTATCCCTTAAAAAGTGTGTCGGTGCACAATAAAGCATATAATAAAAATATATATAAAAAAATAGTGTATCTCTTAAATACATACACATTTCCCCATGTTTTATCTTATTAAAGTGGACCTTTCACCCCAGTGACAAGGTCTGCTTATTAAAGGTGCCCCTTCCCTAAAATGCTGGAGGATAAAAAGGTTCCTATATGCAGTGTTCAAGGAAGGGGGCCACACAGAATAAGCAGACCCTGCCTAAATTGCATGGTCTACTTGAAGACCCTGCAAGTGCAGAAAAAGCACCTAAACCCTGTTGTGGGCTGACAACACACAGCATTTTTGTGAACTGAGCGGTGTCAGCCCTGTCCTGTGTCTTTTGCTAAACTACTCATCCACTCTCCGATCTCTACAACATAAAGGCTAATCATCGTGTAGTCCATGATAACAACTAGAAGAGATAAAGTAGACTCTTTGAGATAAGACGGGAAATGTGTAGAGGACACCGGACAACTCTGCATTTCTAATAAGCTCAACAGGTATTTTTGTTGGGGGGGTGGCTATATCAAACAAATATAACAAAATGCTTCCCCTTGCACAATAATCAGACTAAAAGTGAACAAATAGGATAATTAATTTTCAGGGTTTACATACACTTTAATTTAAATGGCACTTAAAGGTGTTGCTCGTTCCTATTCCAGATTGTTGCAAAGCACAGGCACAATCAATACATGTACAACGTAATTCTGCTTTCCCACGCTCTGTTTGATTCTCAGTCTGTAGAAGCGGCAGATGATGACGATGAGAATGGAAATGATGAAGATACACCAGGCCTAAAGGATAAACTGGTCAGGAGATTGTCCAGCAGGAAAAACATGGAGAGAACCTCAGAACAACAAGACACACAGAACACAAAGAATATAGCTAATAGTAGTTAATCACAATTTACTGGATTTGTTCTGTAATGTTGAAGATGTTTCACCGCTTATCAAGTAGCTCCAAGCTTGCACCCGTAATGGACTACAATCTCACGGTTAGTTTACTAAGATGTGTTGAGATTGTAATCCATCACGGGAGCAGTGGCTACTTTACAACACGCACAGGGACCATGGGGAACAAAAGTAGCCACCCTCCAGAAGGAAGGACAGTGTCAGCACCAATTCAGAGATGATTCGAGGATCTACAGCCGAGTGATAAACAAATAAGATAAAACATTTTTTTTATAGTTAAGGTACCTGAATTAATTTTTAAGATTTAACTCTTGAGTTTAGTGTCACTTTAAGAACACTTTTGCCTGGAGTTCTTCTTTAATCCAATCTCCATGTTGTCTAGTAATGTGTCAAGGCAAATGTTGATTGTCCAAGTACATGGTGGGATATGTGAAAGGTTTTGAAAACATCCTGGTTTAATTACATAATCGAATCCTAAGGTGCCATGAAGTCTGGGACAGCTAGAAGTAGTTAGCCACTACTAGCTATTCCATGACCTGGGTAAATGAGAACCTTCACAGACAAATCTGAGGCATATACTAGTAGCTTGAGTCATGAGTAAAAATGTAACAACAGCCTCTTTTTGCCCTTTTTTTCTGAACTACCTTATTTATTTATTTTTAAATCATGCAAAGTGCAGAAGTGTGCAGGAACCCATAGCAGACCTGTCTAAAAGCACTAGCTAAGAAGTGTTATTGGCCATAAGTCGTCTCTGTTTTGTTTCATTACAAAGGCGTCAGAGGTGGCAAAACTGATCCTCAAAAGAAAAAGTACAGTGAGTGAGCTTGTTACTCTAGAACAGGAAGTGTGTTATGGGCAGGATCATTGGTTGAAAATAAAGGAAAAAACAAAATGACTGCAGACACCCCATCTAAGGACTGCAACTCAACTGCATTGTATGAGATGTTTGTTGGGTGGGTTTGGGATAAAGGGGTAAACATGACTGATGATTGGGGGAAATGTGCCTGGGACAGAACCCCTGATTGGCTAGCATTGCCTGAACTCTGCTCCTTCTCACCTAATATCACGTGATGAATGATGCAGCATTTGGTCATGTTGCTGTCTACTATGGGACCCCAGATCAATGGGTTCTGCTCGACAGGCAACAATTACAGGGTAGGAGGGTTTTCTTTAGTCCTAAAACAATTCCAGTTCTAGGTTGACAATGCTTCTAATCCATAGATACAGAACGGTGAATCAGCACAGACATGAAATGTATTGATGGCAGGATATATTTTAGCCACCTATTGCTATGGGGACAGGATGGTAAAATAAGAAAATTATAAATAATCAAAACAATCCTAATATAATTGCTGTCTTATGTGTTTCACAGAGTGAGGAGCCTCCACCAGTCTCATTCTTCCAGGTCCTGAAGCTAAACAAACCGGAATGGCCATACTTTGTGGTAGGAGTCATCTGTGCAATAATCAATGGTGGCACACGGCCCGCATTCTCTATTATATTCTCCAGGATTATCGGGGTATGTTAGCTATGTATTAAGCTGTTTTCCTCCACCCTGTTCTATTTTTCAGTTCTTGGGTATTGGAAGAGTTGTGTCAAGCTACAAAACTAGTTTTATATATTTCATCTGACAGCGAGTGTTGTTATCATGCCAGATGTGAAGGGGAAGTACAAAAGTACAAAAAAAAAAGATGTGTCTTTCGACTTTTATGTAGTATTGATTTACACGATAGTTGAGCCAAACACAGTAAGATCTGACAGCAAGAACTCGATTAGAATATTCTAGCTAATGTGGAGACTGGTGGGCTTAGTCAGCCCCGTCTTCTGAAAGGTCTGGTCCCTGTCTTCCTAAAAGTCTTGGATACTCAAACAGTAAGATCTCACTAATATCATTTTTGATTGTCCCTGTCTTCCTGGTAGTTTTGGAGGTTACTGTCCACATTCTTGTGTTCCATCTCCTTCTGTTACATTGTCAATAACGGAAGATAAATAAAATACTCAGAAGGAACGCTGGGGTCCCCTCATAATGGGCTCAGCATGTGTGCAGACTCGTGGAACTCGCAGAGATCTCTAGACTCCCTGAGAGATATAAGGCTTAACCCTCCAGCAATGTCCTCCAGAAATGTCAATTTTGGGTGGACTGACCCTATAACAATCTACACAAAGAAATGTTTTATATTTTAGCTACAGACCACTTTAAAGTTGAATTTATTTCCATGTTTTGGCTGGAGCTCAATTTAATATGTGATATCAATCATCAATTCTCAGGTATTTGCAGGCCAGGCAGATGAGATTAGATCGAAAAGCAACTTCTTCTCGTTAATGTTTGTGGCACTTGGAGGAATCTCCTTCGTGACCTTTTTCCTTCAGGCAAGTATATGGGTTCGGTATTCACCCATTGTTATTACTTTATGCCATTTTTCTTATCATATTCTAATTATCAGTCATTCTCTATTCTCGCTAATGATATGCAAGAACAGAAAGTCACCCTCAGACAACTTTATAGTAGAAACTCTTAAAGCCCAGTTGAAGTTGGACAGTCCTCTAGGAATGAGTGTTAAGATTTGTGACTGATGTTTAAATTGAAAATTATTTAAATATCTTTATCTCTCATTGAAATGCAGCTTCCTGCCCTCCCACCCCAGTGCTCTGTGCTTACATAGCTGAGTAATAGACTTGTACTGCAGAGGGTGGTGTGTCTCACCAGATCTTTCACATTACGCTGTGCACAGTGTCTTACCCCGGTGCTTATTGACCTGCACAGCCATGTATAGACACCCTGATCAACTTTTCTAACAAGAAATAAAGAAAATATATACAAAGCATCTATACATTTCCTTTAAAATTACTGTTACACGTATATATTCTGTGACATTTTTCTTTTTTCTTTTTTATTCAGGGATTTACTTTTGGAAAAGCAGGAGAGATTCTTACAAAGAGACTGAGACTTCTAACGTTCAAAGCGATGCTGAGACAGGTTAGCCACTGCCCACTGACATGTATATACTGAATGCAGAGCTCTGCTCTGTTTTGTGATGTGACACAGCCTGAAAATTAAACTATAATCTTTATCTATCAGTGCATAGTACAGATAAGGCAGTGAAGATATTGTCGGTGCAAAGAGGCCTCAAATAATGGGGGCAATTCAGACCAATATCCGGACAACCCTTGAACAAGTACAAGGGAAGCCATTTTCAGCCAGGGTTACCTGGTACTCTAGGGTTCCTCAGGTTGCTAGGGGTTCCTTAAGCTGTGGCTGATTAACTGCTCATCTGATGGTGCTTACATAGTTCCAGTTCTTGCAGAGCAAGTGGAAGGCACCAATTATATTTTTGATATCTGTAAGGGTGGCATTCTGACCACCACAATAAAGGTGGGCAGTCTTCCCTGACCACCAATGTAAACACTTTCCTATAAAAAAAGAAGCTTCTTTAAATGTCATATATGTAGGCCGTCCGCAGCCTCTCTCAAGCTTTTCGGAAAAACTCCTAGAGTGAACGCACTTAGATGACAGGACACTCCATACATTGGGCACATCCCCTCAACACTGCAGGAATGAGCCTTCAGCCTCATTCAAATCCCTACACAAATGAAGTTTGCTCTATCTCTCTGCCTCTGTTGCACAATGCTGAGCTCAGACACTACTGTGACAGATAAGCCGGTTATACACACTTACCGTATATACTCAAGTATAAGCCGACCCGAATATAAGCCGAGGTACCTAATTTTACCACAAAGAACTGGGAAAAAATATTGACTCGAGTATAAGCCTAGGGTGGGAAATGAGGCAGCTACTGGTAAATGTACAAAATGAAGATAGATACCAATAAAATTACGGAGCAGCAGTGACGCGACGCTCAGCGAGGTAAGTAAGAAGAAAAAAAAAAACATAGCAAAGTTCTCGAGACGCTGACTCGAGTATAAGCCGAGGGGGGCATTTTTCAGCACAAAAAATGTGCTGAAAAACTCGGCTTATACTCGAGTATATACGGTATATGTTCTTTGTTCAACCTGCGGGCTGAATGAAGAAAATATAACAGATTCCTCCATTAACGCTTACAAACTGTTTGCATTGTATGCTGACAGTGGCCCGCTCCATTTGGCTAGAAATTCTCCAACCGGCTCCTTAGATCAGCTGATCAAGGGATGCTGAGTGGAAGGGTGCCAACAGTACCATGTACACCTGGTCAGGGAGGGTTACTCACATTGGGAGTTTTTCAGACAGGCTTGGGAGAAGCCATGCGTGGCTTACAGGTGCATTATTTAAATAAAGATCCTTTTTTCAAACATGAAAAGTGATTTTTTAATCTACTGGGGACAGTTATTTGCATGGTAACTTTTATAGGAAAGGTGGTGTAACCCTTTCAATAAAAAAAAGTAAATACCTGCCAAACATCTCGTGACCTGATAACTTTCTATGCTGTCTGCTTGTGCTTACTGTTTTCAGTTAGTATTGTTTTCAGCTCTTTCTTTGGACTGCAGAACATCTACTCCCTATTTTATGGAGAAGGAGAGAGGGTTGGAGGGTTTTCTTTAGTCCTAAAACACTTCCAGTTCTAGGTTTACAATGCTGTTAATCCATTGATACAGTACAGTGAATCAGCACTGACATGAAATGTGTTGATGGCAGGATCACCAGGTAAAAATAAATAATAATAAAGAGCCTGAAAAAAGAAAACTCATGCAGCTACCACATCTAATCTACATATATTTAATTTTTGTTCTTGTGTTTAGATACCTTTTAACATATAAGTGCACATTCAGAACACACTAACTCCTTTATTGTATCCGGGTAAACAAAGCAGTATATGAAATATAACCATTTCCCCTTTCTGCTGCTCTGGGAGTTGGATGACTGGAGTGACATAGAATAGGCACCTCTAAAAGTAGCTGGAGAGTTCTGGATCCATGGATCATTAGTCATTGCTGCGGAATTGTCAGGTCAAGGTATTCCTTTTGGTTTGATAGGTTTGGTGGTGTGTTCAGGTGAAGGGATAGTTCATACTGCCTTTCAGGTGCAATAATTTGCATTTTTTTTTAAAGTGCACTTATTCTTTAACTAGGATTGGGCTAGGAAGAGAGAAGAGACAGATGACACGGCAAAATTCCAAATCTGTTCTTTTGCTCATTGACATCTGGCTAATTCCTGTCTTTTGTGCTTTTTTTTCTTAAAGGAAATTGGATGGTTTGACGACTCCAAAAACAGCACTGGTGCTTTAACCACAAGACTGGCTTCTGATGCTTCAAAGGTTCAAGGAGTAAGTGAACTAATACCTTTCTTGTTCTGGTTCTTGTTTTGCCCTATGAACAAGTCAGATAATTCTAATCAACCAGTCATGAAAAAGGCATTTATAGGAATCTGAATCTCCCCATAGGTGTGTGTTGTTATACAGCCCAATGTGAAGCTGTAAAGCCTGGTTCCCACTACGTGTATTGTCACTGCTGAATAAGCCTGTAGCTGGAAAAAGTACATGAGCTTCTTTTTGGCAGATTACAGGCTTGTTCATACCTAATCCAGTGCGTTCCAGCATGGATTTCCCTCATTTACATCAATGTGTCACAATCTGCTCTTACAAATGTGCGACTTAATACAAGCGTGTAAAACTGTTCAGCGAAAAATGCACGTTTCTAAGTGTGAAAGCGCTGTTGCCTAGGTGTGAATCAGGCCTAAAGCCCCAATGGAGGATAACATTTGTTCAGGGTTAATAACTGACACTGTCCAGGGTGCTGGAGAACAGTAAAACCTTCAATTACTGTCAAAAAAAAAAAGCTCTTAGGTTTCCTTTCAGAACTCTAACAGCTCATTGCTTAGGATTTTTTGGGAGGGGCTCTGGTTCTGGTAAGGTGTAGTAAAGATAACAGCATGCACCTTATGGTTTCTGTTATACTGCATGCCTGCTACTCTGCCTATTCTGAGCACTGAAATAAATAATTCTCTTTACTGGTACTACTGGAAGGGACAGTAATCTGTTTTGTGTCTTGCAGGCTACAGGGGCCAGACTGGCAACACTCTGTCAGAACATTGCAAACATGGGCACTGCTCTCATCATATCTTTCATATACGGGTGGCAGCTGACTCTTCTCCTACTGGTCATTATACCAATCTTGGTAATTTCTTCCATCATCAGGATGAAGATGTTCGCTGGGCATGCCAAAAAAGACAAAGCAGATTTAGAAATGGCAGGAAAAGTGAGTACAATGCATTGTAGTTCCATGTTCAGAATGTAAAAGTGTTGCATGTGTGCACCAGATGCAGTGGATAGAGCAGGAGAGCTAGAGCTGCTTGCCGACTCCCTCTACCTGTCATCCCCGGCAGCTGAGGAAGGATTGGAGCTTTCTATGCCTATGCCCAGGTTCTACCTATGTAGTGTGTTTACTGCTTGAGCAGAGAGAGGCATGTAAGCTGTCTGCAGGTCCAATCTGGTGTGGATATACCCTTTCTATCGGTTCTGCTGACCATCATCAAAAAAAGTGATGGGATATTGCTAAATGTTAACACTTGTCACCGGAACACGAATAGAAGGTTAACCTTCCAATGGGGACAACTGAGACCGGATTTCCTCTCTCATAGGACACATTTCCCCCGCACTTCCTGTCTCCAGGAGAGGAAGTGAAAGGAAATCTATAAATCTATATCTATAAAATAAAATTGGCAGGTGTTATAACCTTTCCCTTCTCTATACAAAGCTAATAAAATGTTTTGGCTTTAGATATATCTAATGACGAAAACCAAATAATTAAACTTTATGCCAAATTCCTTTTTATCTAAGGTTGCCCTTGATGCCATTGAAAACATTCGGACAGTTGTATCTTTAACCCGAGAGCAGAAATTTGAAATCCTGTTTAAAGAAAAGCTGGAAGGTCCTTACAGGTTAGAAAATAAGTTTTTTTGTTTTCCTTTAAAACAACACATTAAAAGTGAATACGAGCCAAATCTATTTTTAGTACGTTTGTATCACTGTATACATTTTTTGTGAATCCGTTGCAAATTTTTTTACCTGCAAAATTTTGCCAGGAGCAGCTCCCTTGTTGTAGGCTGACAACACTAAAGCTGGCCATACATTAGTAGATTTTGTTCGTTCAGCTTGCAGGCTGCAACTGACTGGCTGTATTCACTGTTTGCCTGAAAATTTCCAGCGGGCTCCTTCGAATTTCAGATCGAAGGATGTTAGGTGGGAGGTTGCTGATGGGGCCCCCCATGGAGGAAATGTTGGTCCCGTTCATCGAGAACTACATTTTGCTCCATTTGTGGCCAGCTTTAGCCTCTGCCTCACAAATCACAGTAGTGTTGCAGCACCTGTGTGAGCAACTTCATTAAGCCATTGGGCTGCCAACCAGATCTGTCATATATGGTGGCCAATTAAAGAGCAAACACTGCAGAATGACAACACTGTGTCCCCTTTCATTGGTAATCAGTAGATAAGTTCCCCCTGACTTTGAAGGTCATTGCACTGACCACCTTTAGCTCGGTGGTCAGTGGAAGAAGGACTCCCTTCTATTTGCCTAAGAGAGAAGAGGTTCCACTGGTCTCAGTGCCCAAACTATGCAGGACTATCAGGCCAGTGGTCAACCTGCCATTGCTCAAGAAACATCTAGCAACATCAAGGGCACCCTGGTTGATAAAGTTTATCCCCTAAGGCCAGGCCGAGTGGCAGGCAGAAGAAGGGCCACAAAAAGTGCAGGACCTGCAACCAATACTCCTAAATTAGTTAACTGCTGTTCATGTTGGGGGGAGGTGGCACACTTTGGCCATGTCGCCTTGGGTGCTAAAGATCCCAGTATTGCTTGGCCACCACAAACACTTAGCATAACTATGATTTTAATTGCTCTGTGTTTCAGGAATTCTGTCAAGAACGCACATATGCAAGGCTTCTCCTACGGCCTATCTCAGGCTATCATGTTCTTTGCGTATGCTTGTAGTTTCAGGTTTGGTGCCTATTTGGTGGAGGAAGGATACATGACCTTTGACAATGTGTTTCTGTAAGTATTTTCCCTTAATATAAATGTATCTACTACAATCCAGAAAAATGTTGAACTCTAAGCATACAGTTAAGGAAAAGGCATGCGCTATCCATTTATAAACAGAAAGAATTGTATGAGAAAGCATGTAAAGTAAATCAAATCAGTTTTAAGCTTGTTAATACTACAATTTCTTTTATCTGTATGCTTTGTATGCTTCATTTTCAATGTATCCATATCTGTTCTTATTTTTCAATTACATGTGCTTACTACATTTTACTTGACAACTTTCTATGATCTCTGTTTGGAAGCTAAACACCAGACAGATATAAAATACACATATTAAAGCAACTATTTCATTTTAAAGTGTTAGCAGCATAAGAACCTGAATGTAAATTGGTATGAGTCTCTAGCAATGTTCTGCAGAGCTTAGATTGGGAGAGGGAGAAGCAGCAAGGAACATGCTAATATGAGGGGAGCAGAGTGACAGAATGTGAGCTCATCATTCTGCTGCTATTATTTTTACTGTCCAGTCACAGACTGGAGGAGGGGCAAGACCTGTAAGTGTTATATCACTGCAGCAGAGAAATATCAGGTCTCCTGCCTTGGCAGCATGAGCTATGAGGTGTGCAGGGCCGGATTTGCTCTCCCTGCCACCCCAAGGCCAGGTTTCGCAATGTGCCCCCCCCCCGCCAACCCGCCCCCCCCCCCCAATCAACGGAGAATGGAACCAGATGGCAGGGGCGGCAGGGTTAGTTCTAATTTTTTTTCTTTATTTTTTCTTACTTTTTTATTTTTATTTATGTTTTGCATTTTTAGCTTGTTTTATTTTTTTTTATAATTTTCTATCTTATTGTTGATTTATTTTTCATTATTATTTTTAATATTATTCTTATTTTTTACTTTTTGATCACTTTTTTTATTTTTTAAAATGAATTATTATTTCTGATTTTTAAAATTATTTATTTATTTTTTTATCAATTTTTTTTCACTTTATTGCTACCACACAGGAGAAAACAATCCCCTGTGTGATAACAATTGGAGGTGACAGGTTCTCTTTATTGACCCTGTCACCTCCAATACAGGAGCCCCAGCACAGTACTGTGCTGGAAATCCTGTGACAGGTGAGAGGGGAAGAGCACAGCTCTCCCCTCTCACTGTGTACACAGAGCAGCAGGGTTAGTTTTAACCCTGCCGCTCTGCTCACTGCATCGGCAGCAGGGACAGGAAAGAGATTCAGCGGCCAGGGGGAGGAAGGAGTCCTGAAGACCCGAAGGTAGGTGCAGGGGAGGGGACTGCACACATATTACAAGTGATCGCGGCGACATCGCCGCAATCACTTGTAAATGAACGGCCGGATTCCCCACTTACCGCCCGGGACTACATGTTCCGGGCGTCGGGGGACTCCATGGCGCTGCCGCCCCTCTGCTATGTGCCCCCCGAGGCCGGGCCTCGGAGGCCTTGTGGGGAATCCGGGCCTGGAGGTGTGGCAGAGTTGTGTAAATCTCAGGACTGAAGGGACAGAAATACAAATCCTTTGGTGAGTAGAACAGCTCACATATATTTATTTGATTTGTGTATTTATCTGCTTGCCTGGAGTTTAGATTGATCATGCACATTTAAAACAAGGGCTTAGGGTCCAGTCACACCATATCTAGTGCGTTCTGGCAAGGTTCGAGGCCAGAACGCACTGGATCGCAGAAATCAAACCGGGCCATGTTCTAGGGCAGGAGGGGGCGTGGTGGTGCCATTCATGTCAATGGCACCGGAGACATGCCCCCTGCCCGCAACAGAACGTGAGGTACAGCAATGCCCTGCTTTCCAGTGCAGTGCGATTGGAAATAATAGTGCTTGCAGCATTTTCTCAAATTGCACTGCACCGGAACAGGGGGCGTGCTTGTGGAGCCATTGATATGAATGGCACCACTACGCCCCCTCCCGCCCAAGAACACGGCTTGGCTTGATTTCTGTGATCCAGTGCGTTCCGGCCTCGAACCGTGCCGGAACGCACTGGATATGGTATGACTGGGCCCTTAGAGTAGAAAGCATTGACCATAGGCAGAAATGATGATAAGCTGTTCTTGATGTTTCTTTCAGGGTATTTTCAGCCGTTGTGTTTGGAGCCATGGCTTTAGGTCAAACAAGCTCCTTTGCTCCAGACTATGCTAAAGCTAAAGTGTCAGCGGCTCATATATTCAGCCTCTTGGAGAGACAGCCCCTCATAGACAGCTACAGCACTGCTGGAAACACACCTGTGAGTATATTGACTTCTCAGTCTGGGTAAAATGTCAGCTTCAATCACAGAATCCTTCTTACAGATCCTGGGGATCATGCTAAGTAGATTTTCATCCAAGAGATAGCAGTTCATCATACAAGTGTTGTAAAAAGTTTGGCTTAGTACTGAGATTATATGTAAACCAGCCACTAAAATCCTATATAAATCTTTCAGAAGTTGATGTAATTTCAAAAATAATATGCAATCTTTATTAATGTAGAGCTTTCATTAGAATAACACCTGGCGATCCTGCCATAAAGGTCCTTGTTCAGACAGGTCCTGTTTCAGGGTGACAACGCCCTGCCAATGTCTCCCAATTGCTCTCCTGCATTGTCACCCTGTCACGTGTTTCCAAATGGAATCAGGCTTCATTCGCATATAGCGTTTGCATTTCCTGTTGAAAGACCGCATGGCACGAAAACACTAAAATCTTTACATAGCCATGAATGTGCGGAATCCGCCCCTGAAATCGTGCTTGGACTATTTTATGGGACGCGTGGTTTTGTACCACGCTGTCCCTGCAATAGTCTGAGCAATGCACAATAAATGCATTGTTTCTTATGCTTAGAGCGGTTCCACGCGTATCCGTACAGCTGAACACGTGCGGAAAACCGCTCATGTGTGAATGGAGCCTTAGAGGTGAGGCACTAGACCCAGTGATTATCAGTTTATAGAAAAAAAGTATTCAACAACGCCCAAAATTGTCCGAGGGCTTGTTCAGATGACTGGATTCTTTTGTGGTGCTTCCGTAGTATAATCCCCTTGTGTAGAGAATGATTATGTTGCTTAACTTTGAGAGAATGGTGCCACTAGGACTCAGTTTAAAATTTTTCAGATGGGTTAGTCTCTTATTATTGCTTTTGCGTCTTTTTTATTGCAGTCACAATGCAATGGCAATATCATGTTCAAGGGAATTCACTTTATCTATCCAACCAGACCAGATGTTGTGGTGCTGAAAGGTCTGGACATCACTGCTGAGAAAGGAGAAACTCTGGCATTAGTGGGTAGCAGTGGATGCGGGAAAAGTACCACCATCCAGCTCCTGGAAAGATTCTATGACCCACATTGTGGAGAAGTGGTAATGCATTCCTATATTTGGATACAGTATTTACAAGTGTATTTTTAAAGCAGTTCCATCACTATATGTGTAACAAGTCCTCTAAAAGATCCATGATTCAGGTTTTGACATGGGTAAGTCAGAACATATAAAATGCACCAGCAGACCTCAGAAAATTGATAAATGATAACACCTATTTAAAGAGTATGTCATTTATTCCCAACTAGGAGGGATGGTGAAGTGTTCCTGCACACTGGGATATTTTACCACTTTCACTAAGTTAAGGGAAACTTTCCCTGCCAAGTACAAATTACCTTGCAAAGTGAACAGCAAATCTGCCTTTAGTAAATCAACCCCTTTGCCTCTCCCCGCCGTAGAAGCTAAAGACTGGAATTACATGCTGTTATTACATTTATAATCTACAAAACATCCAGCTCCTTCTCCATCATCATTTCACCTATGTTTTACTCTTTTACATGCAATTTGTTTGCCTCCAAGTTCATTTTCCATTTATCAACAGCCACTGCCAATCAGCCGGTGTCAGGGGTCAACTTGTAAATTGAATATACATTGAAAGGACTTCCACTACATAGCTAAGGTTGTAGGAACACTGTGCAAACATCCTACCTGGACCATTCTACCACCTGAGACACGGCACATACATTAATTCACCGCTGAAAAAATAGAGATGGGGAAACTTTAGCAAAGCTTCCATCTATGACTATAAACTTCCTATAAACCCACTCAACATATCTGCTTTTAAGATTAAGATGGAGAAACAGCGGTGCCTATAAAATGTTATTATGGAGGACATTCTTCTATCTTGTATCATTGTTGGTTATTGTCTGACAGCTAACATTGTGTATCTCTTGCAGTGCATAGATGGTTCTGATGTGAAGGGTATGAGCATTCAGTGGATACGGGCACAGATGGGCATCGTTTCCCAAGAGCCCATGCTGTTTGACCGCAGCATAGCAGAGAACATTGCGTATGGAGACAACAGCCGAACAGTGAGTCAAGAAGAGATTGAGCAAGCAGCCAAGGAGGCCAATATCCAGAGCTTCATCGAGACCCTACCTGATGTAAGTATACAATAACTACATTGTGTTGCCACATTAAGTTCTCTCAGGATAGAGACCGAGGAGAGACAGCCAGGGGAGAGAGCGAGGACAGACAGCCAGAAGGATGAGCGAGGAGAGACAGCCAGGGCAGAGAGCAAGGAAAGAGAGCGAGGAGAGACTGCCAGGATAGAGAGCGAGGAGAGACAGCCAGAGGAGAGAGCAAGGAAAGACAGACAGGGGAGAGAGCAAGGAGAGACAGTCAGGGGAGAGAGCAAGGAGAGACAGCCAGGAGAGAGAGCAAGGAGAGACAGGCAGGGGAGAGTGCCCCTCAAGACTTATCTGCCACCTGTGTTTCAGACAATTCCTTTCTCCCCAAATTCCAGTGTCCCTCCATGTCCCCTGCCTCCTCCATGCACTCAAATTAGAACACCAGGACCCCATGGTAGCCCCTGTCCACCTGACATTGTGACATCTTTTGTCTGGGTTTCAGCTGGCCTGAAACCTGGACACAGCACATACAGAACTCAAAACCCAGACTGTCCGGGTGAATCCCTGACAGATGGTATCCCTATATGGTGGTGACGTAGAGGCATCAGATGGAACCACAGAGGGTGGCAGAAGACCAGGCATCTGACACTTGTGGAAGTGTTGATTGCTGAAGATACTTCAGTGGCTAAAGCTCACTAGGAGGTCAAAAATCAGAGTTACCACCAAGTATTGATCATGTCCACTGTGCTGAAGTTTGATTTGGGACAAAGTTATTTCAAGTGTTTAACCCTAATAATGAACTTCTCTCATTTGCTCCCATTTGGACTGTTAAATGTACCAATGAAAGAGTGTTATTATATCTGGTCAATAGATCCATAAATACATGATAATTCTGCCAGAAATCTTGTGCGCTGATAACTTCCTGTGCTCTCTGCTCCTGTTGACTGTTATCAGGTAGGAGTGCTCCCAGTTATCTCTTTGGACCATAGAAAACCTCTCCCTGTGTAATGTGGAAGATGATAAGGGGAGGTATTCTGTAGTCTTAGACTTCCTGTCCTAGGGTGATGATACTGCTTCTCCATAGATACGGGAAGGTTAGTGAGCATTGTCACCCTAGGACAGAAAGTGTGTTACTGGCAAGATCACAAGGGACTCTCCGACTGCAAGTGTCAATATACTAAATTTTTGTTCTTGGGTTCAGGTACACTAGGCTTTTTTTAAGAAAGGGTGACAACCTTAGCTGTCATTCATATTTGTACAGCTGTCATAAATGGGAAAGAAAAATACATGGCAATGACACGAACAACCTGCAAAATACAGATAACTTCTTCAAAGTGAAGTCCATGTACACCAGTACAGATAAGAATCACCGATAAGGCCTGCACTGCACAGATAAGACTCACATTCATAAAAAGGAAAAAGCTGATTACTATCTGCTGATCTTTGCAGAGTGCAGCCATGTGTATTCCATTGAAGAAGCAAACCATTCTTTATATATAGACACTATGATGAGCTTAGAAACCTCCTTGCTGTCGCAGTTCTTAAATTCCAACTACCAACTACTTGTCTCACCATTGGTCTCCATTAAATTAATTCTATTTAAAGTAGGGATGTTCAGATACCAAGTACAGTACTCCGTACAAGTACAAGTACAGATACTTTTCCAGCTCCAAGACTAAACTAGAGAAAAATTCAAAAGTTAGGAGGCCGCTGTCATTTGTAAGGAGCACACGGAGCTCCTGGGATTTGTACATCTCTGTTTTAATGTATGATTATTTTTCTATAAATATATATGTGATGCACCGATACCATTTTTTCAAGTATCAACTTATACTTGTACTGATACTTGCCCAAGTACTCACAGATACAAGTACTGACACATTTTTGTTTATTGTCATGTGACAGTTTTTTTAAAACAATACAGACTAATGATTTCAGGACAGTGGTGGAGCGCCAGGGCAAGGTCCCCTCTGCAGCCCTTGTAGTTTTCAAGAAAATGCCAAGTATCGGCACCGGTATCTGAACTGGTAGCTGGACATCCCTAGTTTAAAACCAATGTTTTTATACAATTTACTTATTTATTACAGGTATTTATATAGTGCTGACAATTTTATTCAACGCTTTAGTGCACATTCACATCAGTCCCTGCACTTAAGGAGCGTACAATCTAAGGTCCCTACTGCACACACATACAGGGCGAATTTAAACAGGAGCCAATTAACTTTCCACCAGGAGTGTCCCGACCATCGCGCATGTGCAGCCATCCGATTGATACCTTCCAGCGGCCATCTTGGTGATGGACGCCGGCAGAGAGAGGAGGGGACGCTCACCCGGGGGATGAGGTATGCCACCGGGTCCCCTCCTCTCTCCTGACACTGTCGGGCTCTCGGTCCATGACCGAGTGCCTGGCTTTTTAGAGGGGGTGACACCAAAATGACTGTCAGTCATTTTGGTGTCACTCCTGCAATGGTGTCACCTGGGTGCGGGCCGCACCCCCCGCGTGACGCCACTGCTTTTCACCATGTCTTTGGAGTTTGGCAGGAAAACTGGAGTACCCGGAGGAACCCCACACAAGCACAGGGAATGTGCAAACACCTGAGTATGGGATGGTTAAAACCCCTGTCAAGGTTTTTAAGCAGAGATAAAATCCATATTTATTATTTTAAGCAGAGAAAAAAATCCATATTGCATACTGTTTATGCAGCCTGACTATATCACAGTAATAATATAGTGATATTCAGTTGGGATTCAAGCATGATACATGGTACAATTAACCACAGATAACAGTTGGCTTTTGGCAAACCTTTTAGAGGCTTAGGAGGGCCTTTGGACTATAGAGTTAATCAACAACACTTTCAACTATTACTGCTACCCCTCTCCATTTTGGTAGAAATACAACACCCGTGTTGGAGATAAGGGTACCCAACTGTCTGGAGGTCAGAAGCAGAGGATCGCCATAGCCCGAGCCCTTATCCGGCGACCGAAAATTCTACTGCTGGATGAAGCCACGTCTGCTCTGGACACTGAGAGTGAAAAGGTAACTAGAAATCAGAATGACTGCACACACAGAGCCTTAGTTAATAGTTAGGAATAAATGAGTCATATAGTAGATGTGGAGTGGCCACCTCCCAGCAAGTCGGTCACGGTCACATTAATTTTTTTTTTTTTAATAATAATAAAAAAAGTAACAAAATAACTTTATATTTTAACAAATAAATGGTCACACCGATCTTAGAGGAAGCTAAAAAAATGTCCATTGTATTTGAAAAATGGAGGATCAGTGGTCAGCGTGGGCAAGTAAATAGCATGTACCAGCATGTCCTTATTTGCCCAATTTGCTGGTTGTTGTCCCAGAAGTGTCCAATAGATCGGTAAATAAATGCAATGCATATGAGTACTATTTACCTAACGTAGTACTATTAACTAATGTACTCACCCCGACCAAACTCCATAGTTGTCTACAGTGTCCACTAAATTAGTAGGTGTGGACACATTTATATATCTTTTTAATGCCTTCTTTAAATAATTTGCCATAGTTAAGTTTCTCTTGGCACTGAGACTTGGGAGTCCTTAGATGTCTGCACAAGACTTTGTACTTCTCCGTACTGCACCTTTTAGTACCCGATAGGCTAAATATGGAGATTTAGGGATTAATTTTTATTCTGACTCCAAATGTTGTATTAGCGATTTATCCCTTGCTGAGACCTCTATGTCGGGCAGATACAATTACTGCGGACAATCCTTATCAGATAGCTGAACTCACCAAATACTTTTTTATCCACGAAGATCTTTGTTTAATGCAGCAGATTACAGCAGAAAACAGGATGTAGCAGATGATTGAAAAGATGGTATTTGCAGGTCAAAAGATGGTAATGCTTTCCCCCCATGCAAGCATACAAACACGTGGCCATGAGACGAGTGGCCATAACGCCAAAAAAGCACTGTGAAGAAGAAAGGGGAAATACATCATAAAATGGGAGGGAACACAGAACAAGGTGGTGCACTAAACAAAGGACCACAAGATGGCAGTATATAAGCCAGCTATATACTGCCAATGAACAATGGCTAAAGAAAATTCTTAAAGTGATATAAAAGAAAAGCCTTTTTTTTTCTCCTTTAAGGAGACCCTCCTTTGCTAGAGGCTGTTGCTCTTTTTCCTTAAAGGTTTCTAATTCCTAGTGGCTCCCCGCAGCACTTTTCCCCCCACCCCCTGCACGGGTGCCACCATCGTTCTAGTGGAGGCACCCGTGTGCGCTCGTGCCCGCTCGTTTTCGCAGTGGCTGTGTGCGTCCATAGACACACAGCCCTATGGCAGGCCACGCCCCTTCCCTCTTTGATTGATGGCAGAAGGAGCCTACGGCTCCTCTGCCATCAGTATCCCCCCCGAGCGACCTGGAAGTTCGGGGAACATAGGATTGCTTCGGACCGGGGGCGGGGACGAGCGCAGCTGACAGGTAAGTGTGGAGGGGACTGGGGTAGAAAAAAATAGTATTTTTCTACTGTTCATGTGTGACGGTGCCATCCGCAGTCATTTCGAGCACCCATCTTCATCAAGTGGGAATCCCGGTAAGGAGTGCGGTATGGTTCCTGTTTCTGTTTATTCAACTGGGGTAGAAAAAAGGTGCGGGCCGTTTTTACCCTAATGCAGAGAATGCATTAAGGTAAAAAACGCCCAGACCTTAACACTACTTTAATTGACAGTAAAATGAATATTAAAGGAGAACTATGAGGTGAGTGCTTTTCACTCACCTCATAGTTCTAGCCGACCTGTGACAATAAGACTGTCACAGGTCGGCTCAGTAGATCGGGAGGTGAGCGAACACATACTGGCGTTCGCTCACCTCCCGATACTGTCACAGCTCTCTGCCGTGACAGGGGAGGGGCTGTATTCCCCCCGCTCCGATCCGCCAGCGCTGACTGGCGTAAAGGACGGGGAGGGGGCGGGTACAGCTGGCTCTGCCTCTAGATAGGCAGAGCCAGCTGTCACTCACGCAGCTGGGCGGATCCAGACATAATTGTCGGGATCCGCTTCAGTTGCGGCGTCTCAGTATACTGCGAGCAGTAGCTCGCGGTATACTGAGCCTAGGGTGACGGGAGGACACTAGTTTGTGTCCTCCCGTTACCCTAAGGACAACTATGGGGAAAAGTTCTCCTTTAAACATGACTATGCATTGTATCGTATTTTCATACATACATTTTCATTTTCAATAGCACAATTTAGATTTAGGGTTCAGGTTAAGGTTATGGTAAAGATTTAGGGGGTTTAAGGGTTAGGGTTTAGGTAGCACTTTAATGTTAAATAATAGGTTTAGTGTTGTGGTTCACGTTAAGAGTTCAGGGTTTGGTTAAGTCAAGTGTTTGGGTTATGGACAGTGTTAGGGTGACGCCTTAGGTGTAATATTAAGGTGATCTGTGAGGGCTTAGGGTTATGTGTTGGCATTAAAATTAGAGTTAGAGATAGGTTAGAGGGAAAAGCATTGTTGCACCGTCTTATATTTGAACTTGCATTATTTCAGCTTTGAACACAGTGTATGTGCAGTCTGTTCTGTTGAAGGCTTAGAATGCACAAGGAGGGTCCATCAGTTAGAAAAGGGGGAAGGACAAGACCTGTACATGTTGCTGATCTGCAGCAGAGCAAAATCAGGTCTCTTGCCCTGCCAGACAGGGCTGTATGGTGTGGCAGAGCTGTATAAACCTCAGAACTGGTTGGACAGAATTAAAAGTAATTTGGCAAGTAAAGTGGCTTGTTTATATGCGTTCCATCTGTGTATTCAGCTGTTTGCCCGGAGTTTAGGTTTAAATAGGGGCTCCGCTTTGTCAGAGGCTGGCTGTAGTCTGCTTCAGGCACAATGATACACTGTACATACAGTATGGGGGACATTTATCAAAACTGGAGCAGACAGAAAACTGGAGCAGTTGCCCATGGCAACCAATCAGCACCTCTCTTTAGCTTGCTCAGTTGGGATTTGAAATTTGGGATTTTGATAAATTCCCTTCTATGTGTCTTAGCTGTCTTTGACCAGCATAAAGCCTCATTATCTCAGATCTGCATCGTCTATTTTCCTGCCTGAGGTTTTCGTGCTTTTCCTGGGCTTCAACCTCACCTCTGTTTAAACACGATTTAGAACTTTTTCCATTTATCTCCATCCAGGTGGTACAAGAAGCTCTGGATAAGGCTCGGGAGGGTCGCACTTGTATAGTGATTGCCCACCGACTGTCCACCATTCAGAATGCAGACAAAATCGCCGTCATCCAGAACGGGAAGGTCGTAGAACAGGGGACACATCAACAGCTGCTGCAGCTAAAAAGGGCCTATCACTCACTGGTCACTATACAGCTCGGTCCAACTTGAGCGGAGACAAAGCCAGAAAACCTGATAGATCTGCATAAAAAGGAAAATACATCGGTGGAACGGATACGGATACAAGAGCAAAGATAACCCGGAAAGGGGACCTAGAACTGGAGAATGGGGAGCATGTTAGTAAAGGAGCCTCATAAATCACGGAATGTTACATCAGTGCCGAGTCGACTTAAACCATAGCTCTATAAAGCACTTTTTGGAGCGATTAGACCGCGATTGGTTTTAATGCAGCAGAATTCAAAATAGTCAATTACCTAAAATAGCTGTGTGAGCTATTCTATCTGTGTTGTTGTAGTTATTTAAAGTGTATGTCTGGGCAGAATTTTAAAAAAACTCAGTACATTTCTGCAATACATGCAGATTTCCTCATGCTTTGTCTATTTAGGGCCCAGTGACACCATAAAGTCTGCGTTCCAGAGGCAGAACGCTCTGGAACGCAGACTTTATGGTGTCACTGGGCCCTAAATAGACACTGGAACGCAACTGGCCGGCTCACTTTGTTTTTGTGCAGTGAAGTCAATGGGATCGCAGCCACGCCCCCCGGCATCCGAACTTGTGGCACATTAGCGATCTGCAAAAAGTAGTGCATGCAGCATTTATTGCAGATGGCACTGGACCGGAACGCAGGCACTAATGTGCCAAGAGTTCGAGTGCCGGCGATCGCACTGCACGCGGGGGGCGTGGCTGTGGTGCCATTGACTTCACTGCACCACCACGCCCCTTTTCTCCCCAAAACAAAGTGAGCCGGCCGAGTTGCATTCCAGAGGCCAAACGCACTCTTTATGGCTACTCTTTACAGCTACTCTTTACGGCTACTTTAAGCTTTCCCCGCTAACTAATCTGTTGATTATATATTTTTTTTAAGTAAGTGACATACCAAAATATCAGAATCCGCTGCCATGTGTTGCACCGGGTCCATAGTCTTCTCTCTTCCTCGATGCATGGGTGCTATGGACACTTCCCATTGGCTGCCCAACGAATGGGTCCTCAGGCTTCAGAACACTGCAGCAGCGCAATGATGACTCAACAAGGGGCAGCAACAAGGCCGGAGGGTGACAAACCTGGACTGCAGCTTTGGATCTCCATCTCCTCCAATGGAAAAGGTGGTGCAAAGAATCATGTGATGGCTGAATCAGTTCATTAAAAAAAGACTTTGGGGGAACTTTTTTAAGAATAAAAATGGGTGGGAGCGGCGTTGGTTGGGATGGTTTAGGAGTTGATTTTTGCCTGGAGGTGAACTTTAGTAAAACGCACACACACAACCCAAATGTTGAACTCGATGAACCAGTCTCTTTATTCAACCTAAACAACTATGTATGTAACCAATTTGAGTAAGAACATTATTCCCAACCCCCACGAATGATGGGTCACAATCTGAGCCTACAGTCCGTGTGACTTTTTTGTACCTTTTAAGTGAAATTCAGTAGATTATACAGTCTGATTGTAACGTTTTTTCCCAGCTTTAGTGCAGCGCCAATCTGTACCAAGTATTCATTAAGTTAACGTCGAAAAACCGAACAGGGTTTTTGTTATAGTGCGCCAAATGAAATTGGAATGTCCTTAAAAAAGTTAAATGATCTAGATGAGCAAATAAGTCCAACAGGGTTATTCTTCACAAAAAGGTGAATACTTTCCTTTGATACAATCAGATTTTATTAAAGCAGTTCTAAAGTTCCAGCATATACTGTCCTGTTATGACATCAGCAGTGTAAAAGGAATGCATACTACTGCTGTGTTTTGATAACGCGAATAAAGCTTACTTGAAAAATCTCTTGTATGTAGTGAGTGCTGCCTTCCGTCTGCCCATCACTTTCACCAACTTCCTGGATTCCCAGTGTGCTTTGTGTCTCTTTCCTTGCTGCTTGGTGTGATGCAATTGCCATTTCTCCTTACTACATATCCCATCATGCATTGCTTCCAGCAAGCAATGATAATGTTACATTGTTCAGACATTGTAGTTCAGAAGGCAGGCTCTGTGAGAGTTTTATCACATGGAAGTACATATTCACAGGGCTGAGTGAAGTTGTATCATTGCATTGAGGAAGTACATCCTATGGGCATCTTCAATAATAAGTTTACAAACTTCTAGATCAATATGGTTATTAGGAGTTGGATAGAACTGATGGATATACCCTTTAAAGGCTAATTCCACCCTTTTAGACCATGTTATATGTTGCACCCATATTTAGGCTGTAACATGAATCATGGTGACCGGTCTCAGCTTTCTGTTTGCACCGTGTTTCAGATATGTTTTCCAAGGAAAAAGGGGAAATTATATCTTTTTAATTCAGTATGAGTTTGGTTTTTGGAATCCATTTATCTGCAATTAACACCAAAGTGACTGGTAACAAGCCTGGCATCCCCCCGTCTCTGTGTCAGGCACTGAATTCTTATTGAGGATAATATTCAGCATCTGGACAGCTCCCCCTGAGCTCTCCATCTTCATCCTGCCGAGCCTCTTACACCGGACACCGGCTGGACCGGCATCCTGCCAGTTATAGAGCACCAACATGCACTGCCGCTGGCTTCCTCTACCTTCATATCTCCAGGTTGTTAAAGCACATCAATCAGCCCAGCTCACTGTTCCCGCCAGCTGTACCGCAGCACTGGCCTCTTCAGTTTATTATAGGGGAATCAGCATTATGAACCACTTAAAGGCATTTCATGGAGCTTTTTAACCTGCTAGAAAGAACCAAAACACAATGTTCTGATTGTATGTTAGTAAGTTTATACCGTCGTGTATAATTTGTGTAAATGAAAAGTCTGAGCAAGGAAAGGTTTGTAACAACTCTGGGTCTTTGATGTAGGTTTGCCACCTTTTCTTCAAGCGAAACCCGAACACTCAAGCGACGTGCAGACATTTTTTGGAGGGAATGAGTCGCGGCTTATTCATATGTAAATAGCGTCACCCATTTATATGTAAATATCACAGTTGAGACTATTTTTAGTAGGGGGCCAGTAGCCCCTATCTTAATTTTGGTTGCCCCTGTCTGCCTGACATCATGTGTCCAGGTTTCTGCTCCCATGAAACCCGAACACAGTATTCAAAACCCGAACTGTCCGGGTGAATCCTGGACAGGTGGCAACCCTACCACGGACGCAGCCCACAGGGTCACCCCACCGTAGCCCCATACATAACTGCCTGGATCACCCCCCCCTCCTGCTCTAACCACCCTGGATGCTCCTCCTGGACCACTTGACCCGGCCAATCACGGTAAGTGACCACCCGAGCACCTTCCTTAGGCTAACTTAACCCTTTCTCTACCGCACTGCCTGCCCACCCTGTCATGCCATCCTTTCGCCTATTCTTTTGCTCCAGGACTTTCTCACATGCTGCAGGAGATGGTCAGAGATGGACATATTCTGCAGACATACTACAGGAGATGATCAGAGCATGCACACATCCTGCGGGAGATGGTCAGAGCCTACAGACTTGCTACAGGTGATGGACAGATTCTGCAGACATACTACAGGAGATGATCAGAGCATGCACACATCCTGCGGGAGATGGTCAGAGCCTACAGACTTGCTACAGGTGATGGACAGATTCTGCAGACATACTACAGGAGATGATCAGAGCATGCACACATCCTGCGGGAGATGGTCAGAGCCTACAGACTTGCTACAGGTGATGGACAGATTCTGCAGACATACTACAGGAGATGGACAGATTCTGCAGACATGCTACAGGAGATGGACAGATTCTGCAGACATGCTACAGGAGATGGTCAGAGCCTGCACACATGTTACAGGAGATGGTCAGAGCCTGCAGACATGCTACAGGAGATGGTCAGAGCCTGCAAACATGCTACAGGAGATGATCAGAGTCTGCACACATGCTACAGGATATGGTCAGAACCTGCAGACATGGTACAGCATTTTTTGGAGACTAGAAATAGACTTCAGAAGACAGTAATAGACTGGAGACACATTGCATGAGACAGCTAGACATCACTAATATCAAAGGACCTTTACAAATCATTGATGATACATTTGGGCTCCCCACAGCTTGCTTCAAATGAGTTGTCTCAGATGTAATATTTCTCTCAGCAAGATCCAATATGAAAAATCAGAGGAAAAAAACATAAAAATGGAAAAGGGATGGACAGCTCAGAAAAAGTAGTGTGAGAGAATTAAATAAAACCATTTCATCCTAGAAGCCGGACTATAGAATATTCTTCCTTGCATGGCTTGAGCAAGCGTGAAAACACATAATACAATCTGCAAGGTTCCGGAGGGCCACACAATAGGTGCCAAAAGGCCACACATGGCCAACAGGTTGGCCACCAGGGAAAAAGTGTATTTTACCAAAAATTCCTATGCAAAAGCTACGAAGGGGCTTCCAAAATCCTCTAGTGGATTCCCCTCAGGAGTAAAAATGGAATGCAGAGGTTGAAAGTTTGGCTTAGTTGCCTCAGTGGCAATGGGAGATTTCTGCCTTAGTGTTACAGACAACAACAAATAGTTAAGGGAAGCAATGGGAGGGCCATACTATACGCCATAGAGTCCAAAGAAAAAGCTATATAAGCACTTGGCACCAGCTCCCACTGGCCTTTTAAGGGGTTCTGAATGGAAGGAAGTAGAGTAGTTTCGATCATGTGTTTGCTATGATTGGCTGTCACAGCAGTCACATGATCAATGTCCAACCCTTTGATCTGCCACATTCATTTTTACTTTCCTGCAAGATGGTTTACTGTGTTAGCACTGTGCACTACAGCAGAGCCCGAACAGCTTGTAGAACTGCATTTTCAAGCCTGAGTGCTACTGTAAAGACAAATCTAGGTTCAAAATCTGGAGCAGATTTGCACTGCAACCAATCAGCTTCTCTCTCTCATTTTCAAAGTTTACCCGGGCAAACTGAAGAGAGAAGCTGATTGGTTGCCATGGGCAACTTCTCCAGATTCTGTCTGCCTACAGTGTTGATAAATTCCCCTCTTTGAGGCTAGCTTCACACCAATGCATTGCAGTAACGCATGGTTAAATATGTGCTT